ATGTCCAACGGAAACTTGATCTTACTCGACAGTAATAACCAGACTCCGGTTTGGTCCACCGGTCTCAACTCCACCTCTTCCTCTGTTTCTGCTCTTGAAGCGGTTTTGCTCGACGACGGCAATCTTGTTCTCAGAACCAGCGGCTCCGGCTCATCAGCCAACAAGTTGTGGCAAAGCTTTGATCACCCTGGTAACACGTGGCTCCCCGGAATGAAGATCCGGTTAGACAAACGAACCGGAAAGAGCCAACGACTCACGTCGTGGAAGAGTCTTGAAGATCCATCACCAGGTTTGTTCTCTCTCGAGCTAGACGAGTCCACAGCTTACAAAATCCTTTGGAACGGATCTAATGAGTACTGGTCAAGTGGTCCTTGGAACAATCAGAGCAGGATCTTTGATTTGGTCCCTGAAATGAGACTCAATTACATCTACAACTTCAGCTTTTTCTCTAACTCCACGGAGTCATACTTCACGTACTCGATCTACAACCACTTGAACGTGTCCCGTTTCGTCATGGACGTGTCTGGACAGATCAAACAGTTCACTTGGTTAGACGGAAACAAGGACTGGAACTTGTTCTGGTCTCAACCTCGGCAACAATGTCAGGTCTATAGGTATTGTGGCTCCTTTGGCGTTTGTAGTGACAAGTCTGAACCTTTTTGCCGATGTCCGCAAGGGTTTAGGCCTAAGTCGCAGAAAGATTGGGACTTGAAGGATTACTCTGCAGGCTGCGAAAGAAAGACTGAGCTACAATGCTCTCGTGGAGACATTAACCAGTTTTTTCCTCTTCCAAACATGAAACTAGCTGATAATTCAGAGGAATTGCCGAGAACGAGTCTTAGTATTTGTGCCTCTGCTTGCCAAGGGGATTGTTCTTGTAAGGCTTATGCACATGATGAAGGCTCTAACAAATGCTTGGTTTGGGATAAAGATGTCTTGAATCTTCAGCAACTGGAAGATGATAACAGTGAGGGGAATACGTTTTATCTTAGACTTGCTGCTTCTGACATTCCTAATGGTTCTTCCGGTAAAAGTAACAATAAAGGGATGATATTTGGTGCGGTTCTAGGCTCATTAGGAGTAATAGTCCTTGTTCTGTTGGTGGTAATCTTGATTTTAAGGTACCGGAGGAGGAAGAGAATGAGAGGAGAGAAGGGTGATGGTACATTGGCTGCGTTTAGCTATAGAGAAATACAGAATGCGACGAAGAATTTCGCGGAGAAGTTAGGAGGAGGAGGTTTTGGTTCAGTGTTCAAAGGGGTTTTGCCGGATTCTAGTGACATAGCGGTGAAGAGGCTTGAGAGTATTAGCCAAGGAGAGAAGCAGTTTAGGACGGAAGTAGTGACGATAGGAACCATCCAACATGTAAATCTAGTGAGGCTTCGCGGGTTTTGTTCCGAAGGAAACAAGAAATTGCTGGTTTATGATTACATGCCTAACGGTTCTTTGGATGCTCATCTTTTCTTTAACCAAGTTGAAGAAAAGATCGTCCTCGGATGGAAACTTCGGTTCCAAATCGCGTTAGGGACAGCTAGAGGATTAGCTTATCTACATGACGAATGCAGAGACTGTATCATTCACTGCGATATAAAACCCGAAAACATTTTGTTAGATTCACAGTTTTGTCCCAAAGTTGCTGATTTCGGTTTAGCCAAGCTCGTGGGTCGAGATTTTAGCAGGGTTTTGACCACAATGAGAGGCACAAGAGGCTATCTTGCACCTGAATGGATCTCGGGAGTTGCGATAACAGCGAAAGCTGATGTTTACAGCTACGGGATGATGCTATTCGAGCTTGTTTCCGGGAGAAGAAACACGGAGCAATCAGAAAACGAGAAAGTCAGATTCTTTCCGAGTTGGGCTGCGACCATACTCACCAAAGATGGAGACATCCGCTCGCTACTTGACCCTAGACTAGAGGGCGATGAAGCGGACATAGAGGAGCTCACGAGAGCTTGTAAAGTGGCGTGTTGGTGCATACAAGACGAAGAGAGTCATAGGCCAGCGATGAGCCAAATTGTTCAGATTCTTGAAGGTGTTTTGGAAGTGAATCCACCGCCTTTTCCAAGATCAATTCAAGCTTTAGTCGATACCGATGAAGCTGTGGTCTTCTTTACTGAGTCTTCATCTTCATCAAGCCATAATTCTTCACAGAAACACAGCCATTCTTCTTCTTCCTCCTCTTCGAAGAAAACAACCAACAATGACTCTTCGGCTTAGTTAATAATGTAAACTCATATTTATCAATGTGTAATTTAATATAGTATATTATTTGTAACATGGCAAGGAAATCTCTGAATTTTCTTCCATTGTATAATTATTTATTTGTTACAAGAATGTTACCAAACTTGTGGAAACTTATATATATGTTACAAGAATTTTACAAATTTGATCTTTTTATAAACCAAGACCAAACCAAATAAGCAAGTAGAAAAACATTGATTACATTCATACTTAAAGACCAAACTCGATAGTTTTTTTTTTTGTGGTGATCATCAAGTCACTGATACTGTCATACTATAGCGCCACTTTTACGTCATATCCTGCAAATATCATCATCTTTAGAATCACCTTTAAGGGTATTTCTTTCTATCTATATATCGACCGTGAAACATACGGCTGGAGATATATGTTCGTAGAAGTTCCAAAGGGAGATGCGATCTTTTTCAAAAGTAAGTTATATATATACACCTTTAACAAAAAAAAAAGTTATATACATACACACACATAATATTTAACAAATAATTGATTCCAAAATGAAACCTATTTTTATGAGAACTTTTGTTTTCTAAACTAATATTAGTGGATACTACATTGCCAAAACAAAACATAAAAGTAATAAAGAGATACTTTATTTTGGCAGTTCCATCTGACTGTATATCGGATATATAAATGGATAGAAAATTTATAGCTGGATAGTTCAAACTTTTGTAGATTCTTCGTAAAAACAAACTTTTTAAACTTCGAATATACGATAGAATCTGAAAACATGAGAGCGACACACTAAAGAAGTGGGATCAAAGTACTTAGGCCATATTTAAAGGGAGAACACTTAGGTGTTCTTAGCCTTTTAAAAATAGAAAATATTGTGAATAGTGTTAGATCTGTTGTATATCTGTTCTTGTTGTAGAACTGTTCTTGGCCCAGTTTTAGCGTGACGTGGCGCTTCATCATTGGCTACGAATTTTTGCAAAGGAAAAAAACATTTCATTTCTCCTTCGATCCGAAATCTATGCTAGGGTTTAATTAAATAATATGTTTGTTTGTTTGTTTTTTTTATTTATATCTTTAATGTTCTTTGTTGTTTCATAAAAATTTGATATTATATTTTGTGTTTCTTTTTATTTTCAAATCTATTTATTATAAGTTTTTTAAGTTTGCAATTTAAAAGTTATTTCTTAAAGTTTTTAAAATTGTAAACTAATGTTCTTACATTATTTCAATTTCAAATCAATTCCTATGATCTAAACATGTTCTACCAATAATCACTTACTTTACAAAAGATCTTAATTAAAGCTCTTACAATATTTTAATATTTTTTCTCCCTTAAGATCAAACTTCAAAGATGCACCCTTGCATATGCCCTTAGAAATTAACTAATTATAGTAGAGTTATATGTTTGAGGAAATTACATATGAAGGATTGAAGGTGTGTGTGTGTATTGAAGGTGTGTGTGTATTATTAATTAAATCTTAGATCATACACAATAGTACAATCTTTGGTTGGGTGTAACCGTGTAAGTAATATAAAAAAGAGAAAAAATAGAAAAGTTGTGTAGGAATTGTATGTTGGGTGTAAGTTTACACTTGGGTATGAGTATTAAAATAAAGAAAAATATTGCACTCTCTCTATCTCTCTTTATCTCTCTCTTTATCTCTCTCTCTTTCTTCTCTCTCTAATTATAATAATAAAAAATTATTTACTCCCACACTCACACATGTGCCATTGTGTATAGTCCTGGACATTCGGGTACCCGAACCCATTCGGGTACCCGAACCCATTCGGGTCGGGTCCATTCGAGTTTCGGGTAATTTGAGTATAGAGGTTGAGATCTATTCGGGTAATTTTACTATTTAGTTCGGGTTCGGTTCGGGTTCGGGTATCTATATGAGAACCGAGAAATACTTGAACTATTTTTGGATTCATATCGGATTTGGTTTTTTTACCCATATATATTCAATTTTATCCGAATTACTCGAAAAATATCCGAAATACCCGGGAAAAAACTAAAACATTGGTTACTTTTTACCCAAATATACCCGAAAATATTCAAAAATACCCAAAAAAACTAAAATATTTGTTACTTTTTACCCAAATATACTCGAATTACTCAAGAGTATCAAATATATTTGGATTTATATTTATAATTTTGGGTTTTTTGTTATTATAAATATAAGTATTACTAAAAATCTTAGGTGTATACTTATTATTATTATTATTTTTTGTCAACATTTGGACCACAACTGGCCGGCCCATTAGCCTAATTCCTACAAATTGTAGGGTCAGGGACTCGATCACTGGTGTGATGGTGTCTGTCTTCTGTGGATTTGCCAATAGACCAAGATCACTTCACCTTAGGTGTATACTTATATTTCGGGTACGTTCGGGTACTTTCGGGTATTGGATTCGGTTCGGGTTCGGGTTTGGGTTTTCGGGTATAGAAGTTTTAGACCCATTCGGGTATTTTTAAAAATCGGGTTCGGTACTCATTTTTTCGGTTCGGGTTTTCGGATTCGGTTTTTTTTGTCCAGGGCTAATTGTGTATGCTCTTATGTGTGTGAGGACCGTTGACTTGACTTTAATATATACGTTCGACTTTTCAATTAACACGACTTTTCTTTGTTGTTGTATTAAGAAAGTTTTGGTAACGAATATTGTGTTTATATGTAATACAACTAGCTAAATATAACATTAAAATTATGGAGAATACCATGATTACGATTCAAATATTCGTGGGAGTTTGTCTATACGAGAACAAATAAAAATAAATTGAAATCGTCATGGGGAGTAACTCGATTCTTTTACACAAACGCGCTTCGTGTCACATGTGACATGATTCCACTCCTAAACCAAAAGCCGGTCCAACCAGATTAACAAGTTCAAGTTATAGAAAGTCTTTTAAAGTTATAAAACGGTACAAAACTATATAAAATTAATATATTTTGGTCAAAACATGAACATTTTATCTTATATATAATAACCAAATATAAAAGGGACCATGTACTTAAAGACACCAAAGAGCTTCATCTTATCTTCTTCGTCTATCAGTCGATTGCCGGCTCAGCTTCCCTCAGCTTCGGTTTGATCGGCAAACCAAAGCCTTCTCGTCGAAGGTTGTCTTCGTACCAAAGCTTCTCTGCAAGCTTGTAATTGAGTCGGAAAGGGTATGGACGATCTATCTCAGCCACGTTAACAAAAAAATTATAACCATTCCTCACTGGCACCGCCTACAAGATCAATCTTTACTTTGAGCATATCTTTTTCCAAATCATAACTAATAAATGACTCCTTAAATACTATGAACTACTCTCACCTTCTTTGCTTCATCAGCAGAAGCAAACTCAACAAAGCAACAGCCCACATGCTCACCCCAGTGGTCTACAATAACTCCAGCACGAACAACTTCTCCAACAACTTTGAATAACTTGATGCTGTAATAAATGGAGGATAAAATATCAGTCTTGCTCCAAGAACGAAAGAGGAAATTAAAGCTGCTACTTACATATTTGGTATGTTACAAAGACCACTCTTTTTCATATTGCGTTTGGCCACAAAGACCGTCTTTTTCCTTAAGGCAACATCCTGAATTTAATAGCCAAGGGTGTTAAAGGAGAAAAGGACTCCAATTGCATAATAACAAAAACCTAGACGACGAATATGTCATCTTTCTACTTTGTGGCAACAATAATTTTTCTTCAAGATAATAACAAGAGGTACCTCAACAAAATCGAGTCCTTCTACTGCTGCATCTTCTATTTCTCGTTGTTCAAGGTAGTCTTCGTACCTGGAATATATCAAAAAACACTTGTGATCTATACCAAAAACTTAGCCCAATGTGCTCTTGATAACAAACCCCAAAATGCAAATAGTGAGATGCCTTACCAAACCATGTGATCTAAGCAATACCTAGTTTAACCAAAAAAAGAAAAGAAAAGAAAAACAAGAGCATTAGTCTTCCTTCTGTAATGGCATCAAAACTCTAGCATTAAGTTACAACCAGTGTTACATAAACAAATCTCCATAACATGGAAAATCAATTTACTTGGTTTTTGAAGTGTCTGCGTCTTTTGAAGTGTCTGCGTCTGTCTTAGCAAAAGCAAGAGCAATCTCGCGATTGTGCAAATATTCACCCTTCTTCTTTTCCAGCGCCTACAGAATAAAAGATTTAATCAGTAATCCTACTTTCAAATAACATCCTAGGTATACACTAGTGAAATTACTTTCATCATTACTATATAACTACTCTCTCACCTTCTCTGCTTCGTTAGCAGAAGCAAACTCAACAAAGCCAAAACCCACCATCCTGCATCTTTGGTCTACAATAAGTCGAACATGAACAACTTGTCCAACATCTTTGAAGAAATTGATGCTGTAATAAATGGAGGATAAAATATTAGTCATGAAAAACCAAACTTGTTCCAAGAACCAAAGTGTAAATTAAAGGTGATACTTACATATGTGATATTTTTGTTGTTATGGGAGAGAGATTGGTAACAAAGAGTGTCTTATTTCTTATGGCAACTGCCTGGGAAACAGCCAAGTGTGTTAGCACGACTCTCAAGAGAAAAGGACTTAGATTCAATAACAAAAAAAAAAGTAGCCGAACAATTGTGATATTTTAAACACTAAGCGTTTAAATATAATAATAAGAGGTACCTCAGCAGAATCTGGAGTTCCATCAAGTCCTTGCATCAAGAAAATCTTATGATCGTGCAAGTATTCACCATTCTTATTTTCCAGCGCCTACAGTATATAAAAGATTTAATCAGCTATCGGATAACTAGCTGTATACTTTTCAAATCACTTTAAAACTTCTTTCATCATTACTAGAAAAAAAAAACTACTCACCCACTTTGCTTGGTGAGCAGTAGCAAACTCAACAAAGCCATAGCCCACATGCTTACCCTCCTGGTTTACAATAAGTCGAACACTAACAACATCTCCAACATCTTTGAAGAAAAGGGTGCTGTAAGTAAAAGTAGAGGGCAAAAATCAGTCTTGATCTGACAAGGAAAGTGGAAATTTTTAAGGTGCCTACTTACATATGTGAAAGTTTAGTTGTTTGGGGAGAGAGATTGGCAACAAAGAGTAGGGCAGATTCCTGAATTTAACAGCCAAGTGACGACAATAATTAAATTGCTCAACAACAAAATAAATCATTTCTTGACTTTCTCTCGTTATTACACGCTAAGCTCTGAGCTTGACATATTCTGAAGATAATAAGAAGAGGTACCTTGACAGAATTCGGATCTTTTCCTATCGGAAGGCGGCAATCTTGTTGTTCAAGGTAGTCTTCTTCGTACCTGCAAAAACCCTTGTGATGGATCTCTCTATGATAACAAACAAACTCAAGATGCAAATAATTAATTAAATCCCTTACCAAACCTTGTGATCTATGCAGTACCTAATTTAACCAAAGAAAAAAAAAACGTTAATCTTCTGTACTAGTGGCATAGCAGTTTTGTTACACAAGATAAATCTCAATTTACTTGGGTGGAAAGCATCGGGATCCCTCAATAGCCACAGCAGGAAAAATCTTGCGATTGTGCAAATATTGACCCTGCTTCTTTTCCAATGCCTAGAGAGAATGAAAGACTTAATTACTACTAGTGAAAAGACTTTTCATCCATGATTACTAGTATAAATAATAAATGAGTCTCACCTTCTTTGCTTGGTTAGCAGAAGCAAACTCAACAAATGCTCCTCGGTCCAAGCCCTGGAGGTATGTTTCAAGTCAAACACGGACAACTTGTCCAATATCTTTGAAGAATTCGATTCTGGAGGATAAAATACTATCAGGCATGAAAAACTAAACTAGCTCCGACAAGGAAAGGTGCTACTTACATATCTGATATTTCAGTTTCGCGAGGGAGTTTGCCAACAAAGACCGGCTTTTCTGCTTCCTGAATTTAACAGCCAAGTGTGTTTGTGAGATAATAAGAAAAAGAAGAGAATTCGGGAGTTTCATCAACTCCTTCCACTGTCTCTGTCTCCTGAGATAATAAGAACCAAGATGCTTGCTTAATTGAACATAAAACTTGCAAAATATATATCTAACAAAATTATTACTTACGGCGGCAGTAGCTTCTTCATAAAAATCAGCCTCATCAGACTTTGTCTCCGACAACTCGACACTTGCTTCAATCTGCTCTTTCGTTGTCTCCTCCTCCTTACGTCTCTTCAGCATCGATTTGGTCTCCAAACCATCTTCCACCTTTCGCTTACCAAGTAAATTAACTTCGGCGGCCGATTTGTGGCTAGAACTGGCCATGGACAAGTGAAAACGGCGGCGGTTTATTTTCCGGGAAGAGTTGAGCAATCAGTTAAAATAAATAAATAAATAAACAAAACCTAGAGACATCCACCGAAGATGAAATCCAAGGTATTTTTATAAACCAATTATCTGTGGGCTGGGCTTTTATTTGCTGGGACGGGACAGCCTAGGCGGATCCATGTTTTCCAACGAAGCACGCCCATCCAACCTAAGCGGGTGGAATCGATGCCCATGGGGACATCTCGGTATTTCGTGCGCATTCCGAATATACCGCCGCCTTTTCCAAGATCAATTCAAGCTTTAGTCGATACCGATGAAGATGTGGTCTTCTTTACTGAGTCGTCATCGTCGTCAAGCCATAATTCTTCACAGAAACAGAGCCATTCTTCTTCTTCTTCTTCCAAGAAAACGACCAACGATAACTCTTCGGCTTAGTTAATAATGAGAACTCATGTGTTAATGTGTAATTTAATATAGTGAATTAGTTGTAACATGGCAAGAAAGTCACTGATTTTTCTTCCATTGTATAATTATATATTTGTTACAAGAATGCTACAAATTTGAGTAAATAAATAAATATATATATATATATATGCTTATAATTTTATAATATGCTTATAATTTATAAATAGAAAGCAAAACAACATTTTTCAATAATACCACAAAATTTTGTATAAAAATATTTGTTCAACCAAAATGAATTACAAGTAAAATGAAAAATTTATATTTACTTTCTCTATTTCCAATTTACAGTTTATATTTCCACCATTTAAAAGAGATTTACTTCATTTTAATATTAAATTTGTGGTATTATCGAAAAAAACTAATGATAGTACTTTTAGAACAAAATTGTAAAATATTAAAATGTGGTATTTTGGAGAATTATCTTCTTCTTTTTTTTGACTAATCACATCACTGATTTATCTTTAAATGCTATGTGATTTTTTATACTAACAATTATAAAATTAAAACATTTAATTCCATAATTCAGTGTTTTTATTGAATTTTGTATATTGAAAATTTTAACAAATAGTGTATCGATTTACTGATGTAAAAAAAAAGTATATTGATTTACCAAAGGATTCTACCTTTAGAATTTAAAAATCTAATGAATATGACCATGAAAAAGTTTAGAAAATACATATAAGGGTTATACCGCATATTATTTTTTATTTCGTATGGTTGTTGTGCATTTATATTGGAGATGGATGGTAAAATTTCAAAATTGATGAGTTGAAAGTTTTTTTTTTTTGGCAGAAAATCCTAGTAAAAAACAAAATTATATTTCAATGTGGTACAATTAGTTAAAGTCTTAACCTAATATTTAGCCAATCATACAGTCAAATTACAACAGAAAAAATGGTAAGATAACAAAGTAGAAAAATGGTAAGATAACAAAGTAGCATTGAATCTTCCTCTCTGACTACCCAATTCAAAGTTTCAAACTAGATAAGAATTAATACATTCAACTTAATATAAAAACACTAATCTAGTACATAAATATAGTTAATAACAATGAAGGGGGTGACATTTCACAGTTTTTGTTACTCTTACTTCAAGGTGTGTCTACTTGTGATCTTATTGGCGTACGGATCCGCGGAAGGGGATGAAAACTCCAGCCAAATAGCTAAAACTATAATCGTAAATCCAAACGATGCTAGATATTACAAAACGGTCCAAAGTGCAATCGACTCTATCCCTCTGCAAAACCAAAACTGGATCCGTATCCTCATACGAAGCGGTATTTACAAGTAATGTATAATTTTACTTATTTTTCCAAGGCTTCATATGATTTATCTTGTAACATTTTCTTACCAATTGATACGGTTTAACAAGATTTAAAATTTTACGAATTGTCAATAATACGAAATATAGAGAGAAAGTAACAATACCAGCGGATAAAGGATACATATATATGCAAGGCAGAGGAATTGAAAAGACGATAATAGCTTACGGCGATCATCAACAAACCGATACTAGCGCCACTTTCACGTCCTATGCTAGCAATATCATCATCACTGGAATCACCTTCAAAGTACGCTTTCTTGTTAAATCTATATATCAACTGTGTTAGAGTATCATGTATAGGAAATAAAGTTAGATCGTCGAACATACTATATAAAAAACATAAACCAATCCATTCATTGTCAATTTATTTGATTTGAAAGGCATATGATTCGTAAAAATCCGAATTCATGAATACCAACTATTTTAATTAGCAGTCCGTTTATGATGAATATGCATATCTATGATTAAATTTTTGATTAGTTGATTTCAATTTTGTTTAGAATACATATAATATCGCATCGATTAGCTCTTTAGCAACACCAACCAAACCAGCGGTGGCTGCGAGGATGCTTGGAGACAAATATGCAATAATCGATTCTAGTTTTGATGGTTTTCAAGATACACTTTGCGATGGTTTAGGCAGACACTACTACAAACGATGTGTTATCTCCGGTGGCATAGATTTCATTTTTGGCTATGCCCAATCCATTTTTGAGGTACACATAGATATATATTATCAAAATCTACTGTTTATATTTCTCGTACGAATAGAATATCTAAAGATTCGTTACCAACCTTATATGTTGCACAAGTAAATTTAGTTGAAGAAACTATTAAAATGTTTAAAAGAGTAAACATTTTTGGTATTGATCATGAGAGCACTATGGAAAAAACGAAAATGAGAAGAAGATGATCGTTTTATTAGAACTTTACCATATAAAGATAAATCTCTTAATAAATTGAGTAATGTTTAATGTATAACAAAAGGGGTGTACGTTGAAATTATCGATCGGAATCTACCCACCAAACGAACCGTATGCAACGATAACGGCACAAGGAAGGCAGTCGCCAATGGATAAAGGAGGGTTCGTGTTTAAGGACTGCACTGTTATTGGAAATGGCAAGGTTAAGGCGTTACTGGGACGAGCGTGGGAACCTTATGCACGTGTCATCTTTTACCATTCTAATTTTGGCGACGCTATTTTGCCAATTGGTTGGGATGCTTGGAACGGAAAAGGACAAGAGTATATAATCTCTTACCTTTTATTACATTTTCATATGATATTTCATATTTTTTTATTATGTTTATTGATAAAAAGAAAGCAAAACGATGTTGTTTTAGGGAGCATATAACGTTTGTGGAGTTTGGTTGCACTGGAGTTGGAGCGGACATGTCAAAGAGAGTGTCATGGCTCAGGAAGGCAAGTGAAAAAGACGTTCTGCAATTTACGAATCTTACCTTTATTGACGAAGAAGGTTGGCTCAGTAGGCTTCCCATCAAATTTTAGAGGTGTTAATATGGATTAGTCCATTCGTTTTACGCTTGTTCGGTCTTCGATAGATTAAAATTTAAAACCTGTAAGTCAGTGAAAAACAATATTCATCAATAAAATACATCAACAGTTTATCTGTTTAATAAAAGTTCAATAAGTCGTAACTCTATCTGTGACCTTTAAAAATGCATAAGCTTCTACTCTTAGGAGTTAGGACAATACATTAAAAAAAAAAAAATTCTTTAGATTTTAGAGGAAAAAAAGAATTGAGATTTTGTTTTTCTGTTTATCTTTATGTTTTAAGACTTGAGATTTTTTAGTCTTTAGAGTTTCTGTTTTAGTTTTTGCTTTGAAGTTTACTTTTTGTTGTTTAATGTTGAATTGCTTTATTAGTGTACAAAAATCTAAACTATTTTCTTTTGGGCAATTCTCACAAATATATAGCATAAAAATAAGTTTTGTTACCAAATTTACTAATTTAGCACATAATTTCTAAAGTCCCAAAAATAGTACAAATTTGATATTAAAAAGACTAATGTAAGCATTTGATTGGCGTCACGAGATCGTATTATAATCGTAATTTCAAATTGTAATGAAATTTATTTTACATACTTAGATAAAGGTAAAATAGTTATTGTGGAAATTCATTAATGCTAATTTTGGAGATTTGCGGAGTGTGTTATAATTTTCAATAACACTTATTATAGTGTTATTTTAAGATATATTTTTTCATTTATAATTCATGTGTTTTTTTAATGGGTTATAATACGATAGAGACATTATACAAATCAATAGGCTATAAACCTTAATCAATTACTATATTGTATTGAAAGCGATTGTAAATCTCTCATTGATATCATCAATGGTCGCTATATCAACACTTCTATGGATGGCTTATATCAAGACATTTTGTATTGGGCAACCTTATTTCAAACATTTTGTTTCTCTTTGTAAAATGTTTTTGTAACGAAGTAGCACATACGTTAGCTGAATTACCACTTCTTTTTATTCTGGATGTGTTGATCCTCCTTTCTGGATCTCTGAACTCTTGTACCATAATCTATTTTACTCTTAGTGTAAGTTATAAAAAAAAAAGTTACTATATTGTATATGATTTTTTTTTACAGCATGCATGATGGGAATAAAATACTAACAAAAATTACTTGATTACCTTATCCAATTTTTGTTATTAGACTAATTCTTCCTTTCTCTATTCAATTACAAAAAGATGATACTACTTTAGTATAAATAAATAAAGCAACAATTGCCAAAAAGGTAATAAAGCGATACTTTTTTTATTTTGGCACATCTATTTGGCTACATCTTTGATAAATCATTAGAAAAAAAATAACGCTGAATAGTTCAAAAATATTTTAAAATCTTCGTAAAATTACGCTTTAAAAACCTTCGAATATACGATGGAATCTGAAAACATGACCGCCAACACACTGAAGAAGTGGGATCAAAGTACTTAGAAATTAACTAATGGTGTGTGTATTAATAAATTCATACTGTATTTGTGAATGTGCAGTTGACTTGATTTATACGTTCAACTTTTCTTTTTTCTTTTTCTTGTATCAAGATTTGGAAAAAAATATTGTTTATATGTAATACAAAATTAAAATTTCGGATGGTATCATGATTCCAATATTCGTGGGAAATAATAGTCTACACTCTATATGTACCAGAACAAATTAAATTAAATTGACACTGTCATGGTGAGTAAATGGGTGGCACGATCTTTAATCTTTACTTTTAAGTAATGTCGAGCAAATTATTAAAGAAATGGAATTGGAGAGCAAAGTAGATCAAATTTTTATAGGTAACTTCATTAAAAGCAGTAAAATCAATTTACTTACATAGAAAACCAAAATATATCTATGATGATCATATTATCTATCATGTATGGATAATCAAGTTTTTTAGTACACAATTATGACAAATGGTCTTTAAAACATCTAAAATATTTGAATCTACAGACTGCAATAATTTGATTTTCAAATCTAAATCTAGAACTAATATTTGAATATAAAATTAAAATAAAAACTATTTTACCAATTCATATAAAGACATAAAAATAAGTAGAGGTCAATGTCCACTTGTTTGAGAAAATGGGAAAAAATCATTAGAGCCTGTAAACAACCCACACAAATCTTCTAATATTACAACCTGTTTTAGACTTTTTATTTATAATAAAAATTTCGCATATTTTCCCTTAATTAGCCATAATCAATCTAATGGATTCGCTAATGCTATAATGCAATAATGATATATTTGTCACCTATATGATATTCTAATGCCATTAAAAATGAAATAAAGAGTTCAAAGAGGCTTTAGACTTTGGTATATTTTACAAATAAAAAGACTTTTGTAATGTATTATTAAAATTGTAGAAAACTATTAATAAAAAAATGTATTTCTGAATTTGATCAAGACAATACGAACGTAAGCTGGAATTATTATTATTTTTTTTTTAAACAATCTAACATGCTTTCCTTTGACGGGACACCAAATTGACCAGCCAACAAATCGATGATGACTTACATGGTTCATGGATGACCCATAAAAATCCCAACCACACTCAATTTTTTACCAACGTAAATGCTAACCGAATGTAATATTAACCCAAACCATTTGATTTTCTTGTACCGGTGAAATCAAACTGAATTTAATAATAATTAAACTCAACTAATTCTAAATTTTTATTTTATTGTTTTCTTTCATCAAAACCGAGCCGAAACTGAACCAAACCAAATTGAAATAAAATTCAGTTTTAATCTACGAAGTAAAAACCTTTTTCCGAAAAGTCGAAAAACTCAAACCACATCGAACTGAACCGGGAAAAAAAAGAATGTCCAATTACGAATAGCCAATAATAATATTACACGTTTAATTAATCATATAATAATTCTTATTAATCACCTCAAAATATTTACTTCTGTTTTTGAACCGAGGAGACTTCTTCTTCTTCTTCTTCTTCTTCTTCGTTCTTCCTTCTTCGTCGTCGTCTTCGTCGTCTTCTGTGTACAGAAATACCTCCATTTTATAGAGAGCGAGCAAGAGAAACAACAAAGAGAGAGAGATCAGAAGAAGAAACGAAATCGTGAAGAAGGAAAAAATTATAGAAGAAAATTGAAAATTACCTAGAAGAAAACGTTTCAATGCGTGCATAGATATCGATTTCACATATACTCTTGAGTGATCTATCCAAGTTTCTTTAAGTTAGTAGCTCTCAATTCTTCGTTCGTGGAGAGCTTGGGAAATTTTCGCGGAGTCTAATTTGATTCCTAGATCTTTGGGTGAAAGCAAACAAGTTCGCGAAGACGAAAACTCTCGCCGTTTTTGGGATCTGATTCCGTTTGGAAGATTTTTCCAGGTTCAATTTTCTCGGCGTTTTGATTATTTGTTTGTTAATTTTGAATTTTGTGCGGACGATGAATTGGCTTTAGAGAGGATCCGATTTGGTTTAGGATTTCGTTTGATCTCGTTCCTGATTCTGTTAATATCTGGAAGCATTTGTGTAATTTGTTGACTGAGGCAATGCTCGTGGCTGTGTGTAGGTTTTCGCTATTAGAAGCTGTGATGCTGGTGGTTTTGACTTTTCTTGGTTTGGATAGAGTTAGGATACTTATTTGAAATTGTCTCATTGACATTGTCAATTTATTCTCCTGTAGATGTTTGATTCTTCTCTTTGGTCATCATAACAAGTTTCTTAAGATACAATGGTGAAATTGTGTTGTTCTCTTTAGGAAAACAAACATAACTTTGAGAATTATCATGTTCTAGAATCTAGGTTGTCAATTTGAGTCGCACACTTTTGGTGTGACATTCTTTTTGGATAAACTAGAGAGACAGAATCGAATTCAGAAGAATATTAAATCCTTATTTGATTTAGTTTTCAGAGTTGTCTCTTATGCTCTACTATGGTTTAATTATGTTCTGCTATGTATAGATTTCTGATATTCAGATGGGTTTTTGCATTTAAGTTTTAGGTTTCGACTGGCTCTAGCTGCCAAGTGGAATTGAATCATTTTAGCTGAAGAAACTTGTTCGTCCAGTTTTGGGAGTGGTTTAAAGGAATAGGCTGAGGTGTTGCGGTATGCAATAAAGGTTTTTATGAGATGAAGGCAATCAAGGGATGGCGTCTAGGCAAAATCAATTATATGCAGTCTTTGCCTGGGGCTCGCCATCGTGCTCCTACAAGGAAGCCAGTATGGATCATCGCAGTGCTTTCACTGATAGCAATGTTTGTAATTGGTGCTTACATGTTCCCTCATCACAGAAAAGCGGCTTGTTATATGTTTTCATCTAAAGGGTGCAAGGGACTAACTGATTGGCTTCCACCATCACTGAGGGAATATTCGGATGAAGAAGTTGCAGCTCGTGTAGTTATTAAGGAAATTTTGAGCTCCCCTCGTGTTATAAAAAAGAGTTCTAAAATTGCATTTATGTTCTTAACCCCAGGTACATTGCCTTTTGAAAAGCTCTGGGACCTCTTTTTCCAGGTATACTTTATCTCTTCCCAACTTCTTTTCCCCGCATCAATTGTTTTAGATGTTTCCTTCTGGCTAATAAGATACTGATGATAGGAAGTTCAGTGAACTCATTTTAAGTTTAGGCTGGCCTTTTATGTTAACAATTCTTCAAAATGTAGACTTTGTCTAGAAAATCATTTAACAACTTGGATGCAGCAAGTGCCTTATGAACACTTGCAATATGTTTAGTATCCCTGCTTTTGTTTCATTCTTTCTTTAAATTATTTCTTTCACTGACTGTTTTCGGCTTTTACCCCTCCTCACAGGGTCATGAGGGGAAATTCTCTGTTTATATTCATGCATCAAAGGATACTCCGGTCCACACCAGTCGTTACTTTGTTAACCGTGAGATTCGAAGTGACGAGGTATGTCTCTTTTTCTGGGTCTGATGTCTATATTTGTAGTCTTGTAAATATCATGTGATCCCTCTCTACGTTCATGAAAAGAAAGCACAATTGGTCTGGAATGTATCATGAATATCTCTTGCTTCTGTAATAATTTGCATGATTGTGGTAAAAGAGATATATGTTTTCTGAAGGTGGTCTGGGGTAGAATATCAATGATTGACGCCGAACGACGTTTGTTGACCAATGCTCTTAGAGATCCTGAAAATCAGCAATTTGTTTTACTCTCTGATAGGTAATCTCAGAAACTTTATTTCTCTTCTCACTGATTATTCTGAGGTTTCCCTAACCAACCTGAGTGTTTCTGGTTTTGCAGTTGTGTGCCACTTCGAAATTTTGAATACATGTACAACTATATGATGCACAGCAATGTCAGCTATGTTGACTGGTAAAGTATTTGTTCAAGTTACTGAGATTTCAAAACTATAATTAATTACACATGTTGCCAGATTTCTTCTTGACTTCTCTATACTTAAATATGATATTATTTTACTCTTCAGCTTTAACGATCCTGGTCCACATGGAACGGGCAGGCATATGGACCACATGTTGCCGGAAATTCCAAGGGAAGATTTTCGAAAGGGTGCACAGGTATATCCAGTATTAAGCTTGCACACTCTGCAAATATATATGCAAGATCACTAAAATACAAAGACTCAGATATAAGAAATCAGTTATGTGTCATCGTTGGAACCATTTGATGCGACAAAAGGCTTTTAAGTAGAACTGTTTGTGGACTAGTTATAACAATAGCATACGTATGCTCGTATGCACCATATTACATCAGCATTTAGAAACTGGAATTTTTTTTTGAAGCCTAAATTTTTTCTTGCTAGTGATGAATTGATACTTCCTAGTATTGATATCATTAATTAAACACATTTGATCTGCATATTTGATCCATTCATCTTTATTGGGAAGCATTTTGATCAAGTTAGGCTACATTTACTGGAATTAGAGAGTTTCTCGACAAGTTTTCATCGCTTAGTCAATTAGCTTTATATCTATGCAGTGGTTCTCCATGACGCGTCAGCATGCTGTGGTAACTGTGGCAGATAATCTTTACTACTCTAAATTTCGGGACTACTGTGGGGTGAGTATGACCTAACCCTCAAAATAGATGGAAATAACCACATATTAATAGGAAGGCCATTTTTTTTTCTTCAGCCAGGTGTAGAGGGCAACAAGAACTGCATCGCGGATGAACACTATCTGCCAACATTCTTCTATGTGAGAATCCATTTTGACTCTAAATAGAAAGAAAATGTTTGATTTTTTTGTACTTTCGTTATCCATAATATACCTATGGTCTGATAAATTTGGCAGATGCTTGATCCTACTGGCATTGCTAACTGGACTGTGACATATGTTGATTGGTCTGAGAGAAAGTGGCATCCAAGAAAATACATGCCTGAAGATGTCACAAGAGAGTTAATTAAGAACATCACGGTATAATCACCAAACCGCTATGATCTCTTAAAATCTTCCTTGACTATTACCTTGCTTGCTTCCATTGAGATAACTAATCAGTATGCCGCTTGATCCGTTTACAGTCCATTGACGCAGTTTCACGCGTAACAAGTGAGAAAACGGTAGAAACTTTTAAGCCCAAGTCATCTCCACTTGTAATTAGTTGCAAAGTTTCCGATTTTTTTTCCTTACCGAGATGCTAATCTGCCGCTTTTTGATGCCTGCAAATATAGGGAGTAGTATCATGGACGCATTGCATGTGGAATGGAATCAAAAGACCGTGCTATCTCTTTGGAAGGAAGTTTCATGCTGATACACTCGATAAACTGATCGAACTCTTCTCAAACTACATCGCATAGGGCTTTCGAGCAATTTTGATTTACTGATGAAATGTCATGCAAAGGAGGTATTCTTTTGACTCGGATTCTTTGACCAACGTTCAGTTACACCCATGAATCAAATTAAAACTTGATGCATTATCATGGAACCCCAAGAAGCTGTATCTCGCTGCGAGCAGAGAAAATCGTGTGATCTTGAGAAGCTAAGGAAGTGTTTTGGGGTTTTTCATTAAGTTGGGGGACGTTGGGGCATTTTAACTCATCTGTTGTCACTACATCTCATTGTTATTTATAGAATTCTCAGAGTGCCTTTTGGTTTTTCTCTCATTTTGTTGGAACACCTTTGTTGAAAATGAAATGAAAACAAGACATGAGGTTTATACAGTTTAAAAAGCTGGGCATTTGATCATATATTTGGAGTTTTATATCGATAACTAATTATACAAACTGCTATATGAAGCATTTTCCTCTCTTTTTATCAGACACAATTCTCTAGAACTACCCTCTTATTACTGCATATTACAAAAAAATAATATTACAAAACCCACACGATTTGTTCATCGCCGATGTCCTAGAGCCACCACCGGAATCCTGACCTTATGTCCTCGGCTACCTTTCAACTTTACCTCCCCGAAGCTGTATACTCCAGAAACCGATCTCACAGTCATAGTGACTGAGAAGGATCTAGAAGCGCCTGGTCTGAGTGTCATTGCTGGTGGGTTCACTTCGATGGCGATAGACGGCTGCATCCTAGCTGTTATTGTGTATGTTTCTTCGACCTCTGCCACATTCGTTACTCTCCTTGTTACGGTCTGGGTCCCCACAAGGTGAGAAACTGCTATAGATGGTGCATTAAAGTTTGAAGGATGTTTCATGTCGTAGTTACAGGGCGTGTTCGTGTAATTTCTTATCTCGTGGGCACTGATCCCTGGGGTTGTGCATAAGAATCCTAGATAGTCCTCATAACCTACAAGAGAAAATCGATTAGTCTTATCAACCAGAGATCAAAGATTGTTGGAACATCATTGATGAGACATTGCAGTAATACCTGCATCAAAGATAAGACCAGGATCTAAAGCAGCACTTGGGTTGACATGACCACTTCCGTAATCGAAAGGAGTAGCTTTAACAAGCGTGACAGCCTCAGTGTCTGAATACTGCTGTGCCTGAAGAAGCCTTCCTGCTCTATCTATGACTGTTGAGGTTGTCATCAAAGCTGATTTGATAGCAGCTGGGCTCCATTGAGGATGCTTCTGCTTCACAAGCGCAGCAATCCCGGCTATGTGTGGTGCAGCCATGCTGGTTCCTGATATTAGCGCAAATCCTTCACCTGCTCAATACCAAAGTAATAAACTTTAGTTCTGATTATCGTCACATGCTAACTTCAGTACTTTGAATGCTTACCAACATAATTGGGCTCGTCTGTCCCATTTGGACACCAAGCAGCCCATATTAGATAACCAGGTGCAAGAATATCTGGTTTAAGAAGATCAGCATCTTGAAAGCTGAAATCTTTGGTATTGGGTCCTCTAGCTGAGAACAATGCCACTTGAGGTGCTGATTTGTGAAGAACGGGTGCTAAGCCATCTCCGATGCTTCCCTCGGCTTTAAAGCTTTTTACTCGCCCTGTCCAATCCCTTGATGTACTGACGTTGTAGTAATCGATCAAATCCTAAAGATTCAAAAAGCAGCATTTCAGATTGAGAAATTAGGCTGAGAATAAGTGAAAGCAATTGAAACTCCCATTACCATTGACTTAGACACATCTGTAATCAAGATTCCTGGAATGGCAGAAGGAACTGGATCGAATTTGGTTCCCGGAGATACATTTTCAACAACAAGAACAAAACCAGCAGCACCGAGATGCTTAGCGGTTGCAACAACTTTCTTGATGGAAGCTGTACCAACAACAAAGTTGAATGAATATCCACAGAGAAGAATGTTTCCCTCAACCAATTTCTTGTTTAAGACTTCTGGTCTCTGGCAATCAGATGGATTATACTTTGAAACAGATGAATCCAGCAGAACATCATTTGCAGAAACCAAAGTGTACAAGCGATGAGGGCGAGTTGGTGCTGCAGGAAATACGTAATAATTCATCAAAAACATGGAAATATAAACTCTGTATCGGTCATCCAAATGTAAAATCCCATTCTTTTTACTTACGGGATAACCCCATCCCAGCAAGCATTTTTCCATTCCCAAGGGTCAGATGATTTTTGTATCTGCGATCATCAATTGCAGCGGCGACAGTAGTTATCCATGGACTATATGATACTAACGTTTTCGGAAAGGGCCCTCCGTTTCCAGCAGCTTGAGAAACAAAAACACCAGCTTTTACGGCCCCAAGAAGGGTAGCATCAAATGGATTCAAGAACGTTGTCTTGGTAGTTGTTGGAGGACTGTTTGGACCAACCGAGAGGCTCAGGATATCAACTCCATCATGAACAGCCTGTCATGAAAATCTCTATTAATATCAACTAAGGTAATGTCCATGATAAGTAGCAGTTATAAGGTTACTTGACTCATTTAAAATAAAAACTGATGAATGTAGCTCGTGTTGCTGAACGAATAGAGAATATGCAGCAGGATCATCATTTTATTTAAGCTGAGATGTTTTTCCATGGTACTTTATGATCAGACTTTTCTAACTTATGCTAAGTTCTTACTCTTACCTGATCAATCGCAGCAACTACATCAGCAACAAAGCCTCCAAAAAGCCGGTACAGAGCCTTGTAAACAGCAATCCTGAAAGAAATTAGCCATTTAGCCTATGAACGAGAAGAATACAAACAGTCAATAAAAACTGCCATTTTGCACATCTGCCTACCTTGCACGAGGAGCCATCCCACTCGCTTTTCCAAATTCATAACCATGCATCCTCAACGGAATACCGTTATTCCCAGCTGCTATAGCTGCTGTGTGACTGAAAATCCAGCATAATCAGATTTGCTTAGTACAACAGAATACGGGCACAATGATACGGTTCTATCTCCCCCTAACACCTGAAGACAACTTTAAAGACAAACCTTCCATGCCCATCACCATCCATTGGCGATGCATAGTCGATATCTGGGTTAAATGCCCCAGCCGCTTTAGCAGCTTCAGCAAAATGTTGGGCTCCAACGATCTTCCTGTTGCAGAAGCTCTTCTTGGTATGAGGATCTTCTTCACATTTCCCTTTGTAATGAGGAAGAGGGCCATAAGGTAATCTGTGGTGAGAGGCGAAACTCGGGTGATGCGGATAAATCCCCGAGTCAACAAACCCGATAACAATATCTTCTCCTGCTCTATCAAAACCGCCTCCTGTTGGCCAAACATCGGTTGGAAGTCCCAGAAACTCTGGTGTATGTGTGGTGAGTCTCCTCACTTTCCAATCTTTGTCTACAGATCTCACACCAGGGGCGCGACGAAGTGTTTCTGCCTACCAAATATAGTGAAATAGTCTAAGGAAACATGAAATTTAAGAAATATTTAGAAATGATCTGCAATCGATTTTTCACCTGCTCTGGAGAAACATGAGCTGCAAATCCATTTATAAGGTGTTTATAGCTGTAAAGCTTTTTATATGATCCTTCCTCAAAGAGCATCCCAAGAATCATATCGTGCTTCCTCTCTAAGTGACGAGCATACGATGTCACCAATTCACTAAAAAAAGTAACAGACTGTTAATCTAGCAAGCAATGTATAGACACTATTCCAAAAGTAACAGATTGTTAATCTAGAAAGAATCTTTAGTCTCTTAAACCAAAAGTATCAAGACTAATGATAGTGAGCACTCGCGCTGTAGATTTGCTGTTTAGTAAATAACTATCCAGATGTATAGGTACTATTACAATTTCAGAAACTATCTAAGTACCTTGATGTATCAATCTTCTCATCAGATTCTACAGCAGTTGGTTCAAAACCATTTTCTCCACCTTTGTAACTTATGATCGGATCTCCTTCCATAGTCACAATGTAAACCTCTGCTGTCACAGTAACAAGAAGCACGGAAACGACAAAAATTCTCAACCCGATATCCATATTGGTTCGCACAAATGAAGCTCCAACTTTATTTTTTTTTGCTGTAGATTCAACTGCAGCATCAAAATCAAAATGAATGCATAAGCATCCTCAGACCACATAGATGTCCAAAATAAAAAGACGACCCTGATCATCTAATCTCATACACTCTTCTCAGAGCTCATAAGGACATAGTTTTGGTCTAAAAGGACAAGGCTTTCCCACAAAATGCAGACAACACATAATCAAACTACTGTACAGAGAAACATAAGAATCATCTCCAAAACCCACAAGAACCACCAAAAACAAACAAGGAAGAGATTCTTTCATCTTTCTCACTGTTTCACTTGAATTTATCAAGAACCAAACACATAAAGAGCAGAAACCAAATCCAACCCACCCCAAAGAAAAGAACTTGAAACTCAAAACACAGCTTGAAGACAAAGAACTTACTCCAGAGAAATTTGCCTAAACACAATAATCAAGTAAAAGAAAGTTCAGCTCCATCTCATACCATTTATATAAAAAAAGCATAACAGTAAGTACAGTATAACAACTATTGCTCTTCAATTAATGAGACAAACAAAGAAGAAAGAATCTTTTAGTCACTTAACCGACATTTTCCCAAAATTAAAATCACCAAAATCAAAAAAAAAATATCAAGACTTAAGAATAACCCACTTTCACAAATCATCCACAAGCAAAGAATCAAACATCAAATATAACCCAAAAAGAAAGATCCTTTTGAAAAGAACTGTAGCAGTGTTTCAATAGAGTAAATCCAAAAAGCCAATAATGTTGTACCAACTTACATTTGCTTCACGGGACGGAACAGAGAACACAGAAAAAAAGTTAGCTTTTTGAGAGACGAAAAGATTGAATCAGAACCGAAAGGTTAGAAATTTAGTCACTACATAAATCACATTTGCAGGGGAAAAAAAAAACTATAGAACAAGTTTATTCAGATCTCTCTAATCGAATGATTAAAAAGAAACTTTTTTTGTTTCTGGGTTTGTTTGTTCGTGGAATAGAGAGATCTACCAAAGTATCCAAAGAGAGAAAACAAAAAAAAAGTACGAAAGTTGAGTTGAAAAAAAAAAAAAAAAAAGTTACTGTGATTTAGTGATGAATGAAGTGAGTGTGTGTTTTATGAATTGTAGTTAGAAATGGAGAAAGAAAATGTCGTTGGGGTACTTCAATTTTTTTTTTTTTTTTATTAGGCTATATTATACTGAATGCTACGGAGACAACGAACCGAAGATTACGTATATAGATTGTTTTATGTAGTAAAGTTTTCATGTAAATGGTAAAATGTAAAAATAGTGTAAATTATTAGTGGATTAATATATGGATAACTAAAATCCAATAATATTTGGTGGATTTACGTA